TGTCCTTGTTTTCGTTTTGTGTATTAATGTTTTATTTATGATGTGCCAAAATTGAATACAATCGCAGTATCTGGTTACCTATTTGTTTTTGATTTCCCCTGTCGTCGCTGGATTGAAAGTTGGTCTTTAGTTGATTTTCGTGGATTGCGTGAGCACGAATTGAGCTGAATTTATGTGCTTAATGTTGAGCATTTAGCTTGATGCGGTATTATTTAGTTTTGTTGCTTTTTTCACAGTTACAATTTTGCGAGCTATGCGCAAATTGCATAAAAACACGCAGCGCTTGCTTATTTTTATGTAATTGTTTTGTTTTTTACATTTAATTTTTATATAAGTAGATATATTTGTTAAAACTGTTTTTTGTATGATTGCGTGTCGTTTGTCGTTTGGTTATGTTAATTTGACTGCTGTTTGCAGTTTTATGCTGGTTTTTTGTTCATTAAATATGCATGACATGCAAATGGCGGTCTCATGCCAATTAACTTTGATCGATTCAACAAAATGGGCGACAGCATTTTATGAGCAATTAATGTGGTTGCCACACTGCGGTTGCCACATGCAACCGGCGGCAAATTGATTGCGACTGAGCGACACTCCAGCCCGATGCCAAAGATCTTATCAGACTTCAAATAGACACAAGTGTACAGTATGAGAATTTTCAATTTCATTTAATTAGAATGTCAGCCTCAGTCTGATTTATGTTTGTGGTCTAATCAAATTAAATTCCCCTAGCCTGTCGCTGGCATATCGCGAATAATTAGAGTAATATGCGAAATTTTTCATTCATTATATTTTAGACAGTCCAACTCTCGACTTTGTGTACTTTGGCATATGCATTGCAAACTTCAGCAAATAAATGAAAATATTCATAAAAATGGATGCAAATGCAAAATTTGCACATCGCCGGTCTGGGGTGTTGGGTGTATCCCTGCCAGTCGTCATATATTTAACGCTTCGCTGAATGCGCCGCAAATGCATAAATATTCGTATGTGTGCAGGGCGTGTATTCCCAAAAACGCCAAATGAGACAATTACGGCGCAATCACAGAAACGAACCGAAATGCCTACATAAACACAATTTATTTGCTTTGCGCTATACACATTTAGAGCTAATGGCAATGACACGAAATTTTGAGCTAAAAACAATAAAAAGTGCATGAGCTGGCAGTGCTAGACGGCCAAATGCCCTATAAAAGTTACCTAAATGTATAATTAAGGGGTCTATATTTATGCTAGTTGTCTTATATAAAAATACATATTTATTTTGGGGAGGGAGATCAAAACGGTTTGTCAGACAGTTGTATGAGGGTAGGAGAAAGTCTCACCTCTCGTTTGAGAGACATTTGGTAAGGTATCTAACCTTTTTTTCCAGCAATATCTCATTTATTCTATATTTCTAGAGCATAAGAGGGAAATAAAGATTTTCGCCATATAGCAATAAGTTAGCTTGAAAGATAAATATACCATAAAAAATTAAGTGTTTTCTCTAAGAACATTGCATACAATTATAATGCTAATCACCATTGCTTTCTTACCTTTTTAAGCTGTCGTTCACCTTCTCCAAGAAAAATAGCATAGACTGTCGCCTAAAAGAAAAAAAAAAGTTTTTGGTAAATAATAATAGCTCGAGTCACCAAAATTGACATATAGCTTCTAAAATAGAATATATATATATGCATTTGATGTTGGAAGAAGAGGGTTCAGGGTATCCCCTAGTCGGGAGCTCCCGACTAGAACCTCTTACTTGTTTATTTCAATTATTATTATTAAGTGTAGAACCTGTAAGATTCTAATTTAGTACCTGCTGAACACATGAATGGAAAATGTAATTTAGAGTCGAACCACATAACGTAGTATGAGGATTTTAAATGATTTGTATGTTATATCGCCATTTTATCTTCCGGCTCTCTTCCAGCCTTGGCACTCCATTATCAAGCAACAATTGTTACACAGCTAGACAAAGTCTTATGTTACTCGCTGCATCAAACATTTTATGACAGCGACGTATAACTACGGACAAGTTTAGACCACACGGCGGCTGACTTTTGAAAGTAGGCAAAACTGTTGCATACCTCGCAGCGCCTGCAAATTTAATGGCGTCGCTCTAAATCGCGTTGCCTACTTTTCAGCGTAGTGTTCCCAGCTCGAGACAAAGCTGATGAATTCAATGTAAAATATTATCGGTGTTATTCAAGTAAGATACTTAAAACTTGGTATGTATACTTAGGAAAGCAAAGGGTTACATTTTCACCCACTAGAGGTGCGAAAATGGCGAATATGAAAAACTTGCTTTTTGAAGCAACAGTCACCTTAGACTGTGATATTATTTTGAAGATCGGCCCAAAATTGACCTCTGATGTCTCTATATATTCTATATCTTCTACAGCTTTAGATCTAAAGTTGCATTGAAGCCCACTTGAGAATTTTCTATAAAGATGGATATATCCCATAGTAAATTTGTTAAAAAGCCTGTTTTATGCTGTGATTGGATGGCAAAGGGGTATTGCGCGGTCGGTTACACCCGACTGCAGCATTTATACTTTTCTATGTTGTTGTTGTTGTTGTTGTAGCTGCTGTCGGTTGTCGGTTTTCGGTTGTCGCTGTTGTTGCCACTTGAGCGTTGCCCCGTTTCTCATTATTCTTGTTGCCATTATTAGAATACTTTTCTCTTTTGTCGTTAACGTTCGTGGATGTTCTTGTTGTTGCTGTTGTTGCCACTGCTGCTGCTGCTGCTGTTGACTTAGTCAAGAGCAATTAACATGCAAATAAGGCCTATTAGTTACCTAAACGTCATTCTGTCAGCTGCTGCGTCTCTCGTAGTCAACGGCAGCCGCCTGTTTGCTGCTAACTGGTTGCCGCCTCTCATTCTGGACACCTTTTCGTGTGCACTTATTGGCCTCTTAAGGGGCGCGGGCGCGTGGGGCATTGGGTTTTAATGAGTTACTAATTTTCAGGGCTGGCTGCGAATGACGTCGCGCTGTTCGCTGCAGACATTTCAAAATTCTTAATTGTCTATTTAGGAGCGATGGCCGCTGGCCGTTCATAACATTAAAGTTAACGTTTATGTTTTGATATATACCAAACTTTTTGATTTCAAAAATTACATGCCCAAACATTTTTGTAAACAAAAAAGGGTTGCCTCTTGCATCTGCGTCGTCATGAAGTTAATCCATAAAGCAAGTCCCTCAGTTAGGCAATTCTTCTTGGTGTTTAGGAGGGGAATTTTAGGGTAAGAAAGAAATTAAGTTTTAAAGCTTATTTGTTAACCAAGAAAAGTTATGTGAAGTTGGAATTAAGTCGATTCAATCAAGAATTTTCTAACATCAAATCAAATGCAGCTCTTTAGTCTAGCAAGCATTTGTATTTTGTTGGATCATGTTTAACTTTAAGATCCATGTTGTAACCCATTTAGATCTAATTATTTGAACTCAAGCTTAAAAATGTAGTCTTATTTCATGTCTAGCCGAGAGAATAAGAGATATATGCAAAGCAATTAATATAGCCTAACCAAGTTGCTCTTGCAGGCTATTCCTTAGCTTGGTCCTTGGCCTGTTGATGTCACTTCAATTGCCTTTGCAGGGCAACTCGCAGTTGATATGCTCTTGCTAGTTCTGTTATATTTTGATTGTTATACCTAAAATGCTAAGTAAACCTTCTCCGTACGTTATCTAATCACTTTTTCTTTTTGTTTGCCTCATTTTTCGAATGCTCTTTTCTCGTGATTGGCGCATGAAATTTTTATGAACTTTGCCTTTTGCAATTAATGTTAATTGATCACTTGAATTTGTGCATTTTCATTAAAACTTTTCAAAGTCGCGCCCCAGTTGGGTCAACATCATTTGCCACGAATGAGGCATTCGTTGAAAAAAAGGAAAAAAAAAACAGAACAGAACAGAGAAGAAGAGAAATATTTACACAGCTCCTGCGGTAATTTATAGTCCTGGCAAAGGCAAGGGCAGCTGCACACAATGCTCGGGGCTATGGATTCTGGACTCTGGTCAGTGGCACTGGCAGCAAGTTTAACACCAGACCAGGCCCGCAAATCGCCGTTGATTGTGCAGCAGCACCTGCAGTGTGTCTCTCTCTGTGTGTGAGTGTGTGTGTGTGTGTACATATACACCTACACGCACGCACACATTCGCACAGTCACATAATGGAGCTGCGGTGTGGACAATGAATGCTGAGGGTGATGATCCAACGTGATTTATCTACTGGCGCTGAGGTTAAAAGTTTTGCGCATACTCTCATTGTTTAGGTCAGGATTCCCTTTGTATGCACAGCACAGCACAGCATACACTCCCCCTCCACACACATAGACACACACACCTTAAACCACACGTGCTATAGACACTGCATAGAGCTGAATGGTCATGCAAATTCCCGCCATGTCAGGGCTGTCAGAGTGCGTTGAATAATATGCTAGCCCCAACATTGAATGTGAGGTACGCAATTATTAAACTTTTGGCATAATTTTGGCTTCCAACTTTTGGCTTTAACCATGATTATTTGATCCGTTTTAACGTCGGCTAAGCCGTTTAGCCAGATATCTGATGCCAGAGGCCTGCACCACAAGATGCTGACAGCCAGCTCATTATTTAGCCTCGCCGAGTGTAACTAATTATTGTCGGCTCGCTTTTCGTTTTTGCCGCACTTATTGACAGACTCAGCGACTGCCTCTTGCTTTGCCCGTGCCTCTATCGCGCCTTCTGCCTCTGCCTTGTGCAATATTTCGCTGACGCTTCACTCGGATCCATCATTTTGTGCAGTCATCTGCGACACGTGGCCCCACAGTTGGCTAATAAATCTTAGTCAGGCGCTGTCCCAGTCAAGCCACAGTTATGTGGGCGTTGCCTATTTGCGGCTTTTACTGCCATAAACACTTTTTTCTTGCTGCCATCTTTTCTCTTTTTTTTTGTTGTTTTCCTGGCTGCCAGCTTATCATATAACAGGACATTCATTGGCCTGCGCGGACTAAATTACGCGTCTTATCGAGTAAACACATTTCAATGCTGATAAATTTATTATTCAGTTTGCTGAACATTTAAGTTAAAAGTGTTGCCGTCCCATCAACGGCACCTTATGGCACCATTTAGAGTCCAAGATCATGCAAAAGCTTGTCCCACCAACCTTGGGTTGTGGTAGCAGCCGGTGCCTCAGTGGTCACATTCCAGCTGGGCGTAGTGTTATTCCATTCGGGTGTGGGACTCGTCCTATTCCAATTGGGGCCCAATGTTGTAATGTTCCAGTTTGGTGGGTTCGTGGTGGTCCAGTTCCAGCTTGGGTTGCCCGTGGTTGTCCAGTTCCAGTTTGGTAGGGCTGTGGTGGTCCAGTTCCAGTTTGGATTGCCTGTGGTTGTCCAGTTCCAGTTGGGGTTTCCCGTGGTAGTCCAGTTCCAGCTTGGGTTGCCCGTGGTGGTCCAGTTCCAGTTTGGATTGCCAGTGGTTGTCCAGTTCCAGTTGGGGTTTCCCGTGGTAGTCCAGTTCCAGCTTGGGTTGCCCGTGGTGGTCCAGTTCCAGTTTGGATTGCCAGTGGTTGTCCAGTTCCAGTTGGGGTTTCCCGTGGTTGTCCAGTTCCAGCTTGGGTTGCCCGTGGTGGTCCAGTTCCAGTTTGGGTTGCCCGTGGTTGTCCAGTTCCAGTTTGGGTTTCCCGTGGTAGTCCAGTTCCAGTTTGGTGGTGCTGTGGTGGTCCAGTTCCAGCTTGGTGGCTCTGTAGTGGTCCAATTCCAGCTTGGGTTGCCCGTGGTTGTCCAGTTCCAGTTTGGTGGTGCTGTGGTGGTCCAGTTCCAGCTTGGTGGCTCTGTAGTGGTCCAATTCCAGCTTGGGTTGCCCGTGGTTGTCCAGTTCCAATTTGGTGGGGCTGTGGTGGTCCAGTTCCAGTTTGGATTGCCAGTGGTTGTCCAGTTCCAGCTTGGATTGCCTGTGGTTGTCCAGTTCCAGTTGGGGTTTCCCGTGGTAGTCCAGTTCCAGTTTGGTGGTGCTGTGGTGGTCCAGTTCCAGCTTGGTGGCTCTGTAGTGGTCCAATTCCAGCTTGGGTTGCCCGTGGTTGTCCAGTTCCAATTTGGTGGGGCTGTGGTGGTCCAGTTCCAGTTTGGATTGCCTGTGGTTGTCCAGTTCCAGCTTGGATTGCCTGTGGTTGTCCAATTCCAGTTTGGTGGGGCTGTGGTAGTCCAGTTCCAGCTTGGGTTGCCCGTGGTTGTCCAGTTCCAGTTAGGTGGTGCTGTGGTGGTCCAGTTCCAGTTTGGTGGCTCTGTAGTGGTCCAATTCCAGCTTGGTGGGGCTGTTGTGGTCCAGTTCCAGCTTGGGTTGCCCGTGGTTGTCCAGTTCCAGTTTGGTGGTGCTGTGGTGGTCCAGTTCCAGCTTGGTGGGCCAGTTGTGGTCCAGTTCCAGCTTGGTGGGCCTGTGGTGGTCCAGTTCCAGTTTGGGTTGCCCGTGGTTGTCCAGTTCCAGCTTGGTGGGCTTGGTGTTGTCCAGTTCCAGCTTGGTGGGCTTGGAGTTGTCCAGTTCCAGCTTGGTGGACTTGGAGTTGTCCAGTTCCAGCTTGGTGGACTTGGAGTTGTCCAGTTCCAGCTTGGTGGACTTGGAGTTGTCCAGTTCCAGCTTGGTGGACTTGGAGTTGTCCAGTTCCAGCTTGGTTGGCTTGGTGTTGTCCAGTTCCAGCTTGGTGGGCTTGCTGTTGTCCAGTTCCAGCTTGGTGGGCTTGGATTTCCAGTGGGTCCAAAAACCTGAGAAATGCAATTTTCCAGGCTAACAGATGACTTTTCCAGTTCACGCAGAGTTCTCTTAATTTCGTGAGTAATACAACGTTGCGTCTGCCAGAAATGTTTATGCATGGGACGCACATCAGCAAACAGATTCATGACCTAAATTAAAGAGCCTTCGATTAGTAAGCTCTCGGCAAATGGGTGGCTATTTCCGCCATACCGAATCCGTATAGCAGCTGCGCGTGCTACAGCCGAGCATCTGCTGCTGAAAGGCAGCCTTTACTCCTGCTGAGTTCTCCTGTTGCAAATAGCTCTGCAGGTCGGCTTGATCCACATTGCTGCATTGACGCAGTTTGCTGCCCGCATTCATCAATATCTCCACATTTTTGACCGTGTAAACGGCCGCACATTGATCCAAGCTGTTAATGGCACCCAATTCGGGCATTTGCAGGTCTCCAACAATGGCATCGAAAAGTAAATTTTGTATGCTCAGCCTATTGCTGATATCATTCGGTTGAACAGATTCAGCTGTCGCATGGGTCTGAGAATTGAGATATATTGAGTAAAGAGATTTAAATTTATATTAGTAATGTGCATATATTACAGGAAGGCTTGCAAATATATTTGATAGTAATTCCTTGGGAGAGCTACTTCAATTTTATAGGATGTATATTAAACTATTTTTAAACAAATTACATACTATTACATAAAATTTTTGAAATGCATATATATACAATTTTTATGTTAGCTATAATCAAATTTAAATTAAAATAATAATAATAATAATAAATAAATAATAATAATAATAATAAAAATAATAAAAAATCCTAATAATATTTAGAATTTTATGTATAATAGATCATTATTATCATAACAATTTATTATTATTAAAATTTATTATTATTTTTGTTTATAAGTATTACGTTGCATACTATTTATTCTTTTATGCACATGACTCGTTCGTCATCTGTGCAATTTATATATAAATGTATATTTTATTTTATCACTAAAAATACGCAGATACAATTTCTTATCATATCATATGATATTATATTATCTATGCACACGAATACTCAAGGCAGCTAGGCAATTTGTATACAGATATTGTAATATAATTGAGCACTTTTAATAATATAGACACCGATTTAAATAGTTATGCAACTGAAGTAATTTCGATAAAGTTCAATTAGTACTCACCGTTGCGGTGAATAGCAGTGCGCAGAGCACTACTAGTTTGTAGAGAACCTCCATGGTGGCGGCTCCTTTCGTTTCTGAGTTGGACAATGTATCAAATGGGCATTTTAAATCAAATTTTTTGCCCACAATCGATGACGACTTGAATTATTTGCCTTTTATATTTATATTTTATCAATAACTGTCTGAAGTCACACTTAACAAAGTGTTTTTACTTTTTCTTGGTGGGGCTTCCGCTCAGTGATAAGACAAAGACCAAGCAGCCTGATTGATGATTACAATTTTCTGCATACGGTTTTTTTTTTTCTTTTCTATATAGTGTGTTCACATACGTATAGAAAATATAGTTAGATACGATAATTGTGAGTAATTCATAGACGAAAATTCTGGGAACACTGATTGCTTTTCGACACTTGAGGTACGCTTTGACATTAACCATCGATTGGCAGGCAAACGTTATCAAACTCAATAAATATTTTTAGATGTTATTGAATTTGGACCCATTAAATCAAGATATTGTTATTGTCATATTGAGAAGGTCAAGTAAATAGAATATTAAAGCTCTTTATTCTCCGCCAATAAAACTTAAGATTGGCCATAAATTCCACAGCTCACACTTAGTTGGCAGGCTGTTGTGCGGCCAGGGGCTGAGCGGGCTTCTGTTCAGGCTGCTGCTCAGGTTTCTGCTCCGGCTGCATCTCAGGCTTCTGCTCCGGCTGAGTCTGGGCGAGCTCTCTGCGCTCTGGCTCGTGCTCAGCTGGCAATTCACGCTGGCTGGGCACCTTGGCCATGCAGCTATTGAATTCATTGGCCGCCTCAATGGACTTTACCTTGGATTCGTCAACAGCAACACTGATGCAGCTGGAGCGCTGCGTGGCAACAATGGTCGAGTTGGTGGCGAACTGAGATTGGGTCTGATAGGCCAGAGTGTTGGAGCTGTCCAGCAGCTGCAGGTTCTTGTCGAACTAAAGGACCCCAACCATTAAAGTGTCCACATCAAATTGCTAAATTGGAAATCAAATGCAATTACTTACAGTGGACACGGTGCAGTTGATGAGACGCTGGCTATCAGTCTCATTGTTGCATTGCTGCAGATTCTTCTCCAGCGACAGATGCTGGGCGCGTATCTGGGCAACAGTGGCATTGGCGCTCTGTGTATTAGCAACCACGGTGCGATTGGCCGCCTCCTCGCATTTGCTGGTGGCATTGGCCAGCTCCTCGCTGATCTTGTAGGTCGCATTGGTATACCTGTTGACGCAGGCGGTCTCAGCGGGCGATGCGGCGCGAGAAATGGCCAGCGGGGAGCTCAGCTGAGCCATGACCATGCGAAGCAGGCTCGACTCATCGGCCATGCGAGGCCAGGCGCTGGCCTATAACGAAAATGTTATTTGTAATTTAAGTGGTTTCTACAAGTGGAGCCAACTTACGCCCAGCACTGTAACTGCGAGTAGTAGAACGCATGTAAACAATTGCATTGTGTATCAGATGCTTCTTGAAGTGCTTACTAATTGCTCATCCTAAAGTTCAGTTGCTTTTATAGCTGGGCGAATTCTCGCTTCTTCTCGGCCTGCTCTGAGAGAGTGCAGATTTTTGACATTTTTTTGGTTCTTTTTGCAACCTTCGATTAGATATGGCAATTGTACAAGGCAATTGGCACATTTAATTGGCTTTTCTCCAGTTTTAAGACACGTAGCGACAACCCTTTGTAATGATATCTTGGCTCAGGTTATAATATAAGACATGATAAATTGGCCCCCAAAAAGAGACACAGACACACTAATCAGTGCTCATGTCCCATTAGTTGCGCTTATCAGACAGCTTCGAAACGGTGTCTTGATGTCTGCATTCTTATCTAACAATATGATATAAGAACTTATTTATAAGGCATTTATATATTGACTGAATCGCCTGAGCCATGCATTCGCATTTACTCAATTCAAGTCATTCAATTTACACGCGTCTTAATTAATGTCTAAAGTTCGATTGTTTGAATGGCAATTGATTATTTGAAAATTATTTTACATGATTCGCTAATAAATTCAGTAGCAGCCCACTTTCGATCTTTAGACATGGAGGCGTATCGAGACGCTTTCCCAGAACTGATAGGAAATCAGCAAGACCAATCGGCTATAAAACTTTAATCAGTTCTTGATAATGCACACGCATTTCCATGAATTTTCTTATCATTTCCTTAGGGTTTTTTTTACAGTTTTGTGATTTTTATTCACTTTACCAACTGATCGAACCATGAATGGAAAAACACATTACGTTGGGTTTTTGGTATATTAATCACTTAAGTGACATTTTATATTCAATTTATTTATTTTTAGATATGCCTCTCATATATGTTTATCTATTCTGGCCAGACTGTTATTGAAGCCCTTTAGATAAAGATAAATTGTTTTTCTTTTTTTATTTGCTTTTATTTATTTTATTTCTAAATATTCTGCAATGTTTGTTTAGTTCTTTATTCTGTTATACAAATGCAAATAAATATTTATATTATATTTATTTAAATATTTATTTATACTACCGGGTGTTACCCGGCCTTGCCCGTGATACGATTTGTGATAACTATTGTAGAAACCAGTCAAATAGTCAGTCAGGACAAAGCGTTGCGCTAATTAATTTTTACCTAAGATAAGTAAGTTTCTTACTCTCGAATAAAGAAAATAATATTGTTGCCCGAAAAGTATTTCGGTCTGTCGATATAAATATGATATATTGTCTATATGAAATCAGATCAATTTATATTTCGTTTTATTGCTGTGAAAAAAAAATGGTTAATTGTCAAAAAAAAAAGTTCTCAAGTAATTAAAAACCATTTTGGTTTGGCTTGTTATTTTTTTCTTTTTTTTAGATTTTTCACTTGATATCCATAAAAATGATAATGTGTCTTTTAAATAATAAAGACAATACCATGGAATAAAATTATTCTTTTAAGTATTATTTTCAACTTTTTTACCAAAAGATTTTTTTGCAAATAACTTTTTTGATTTTGACTCTGAAATCAATTTATTCATTCATTAAAACGATTCATATCATTTAAAATTCTAGGAAATGCCTGAAAAATGGTTTTTCCTTATAGGAGATTTAACCTTTCTCCATGCTAGCCTATAAATTTGTTAGCTTATTAGAAAGGTAAAGTTAGCTGTCTTCACCTGACTTTCAGTCAATTTGCAAACAATAAGCTTGAAATTCAATTCATTTTTCATAGATGGTTGTAGGCAGGCGAAAAAATCAGTGCCAAGATTGCCAAGTGAAAGAAAGCTGGCAAAACAATTTTGAAAAGTGGCTAAATTCACAGTTGCCAACAAATTTATCACAACATGCCAGCACATACACACACACACGGCACCACACACACATACTCACATAGCACACACACATGCGTATGTAGATATGCGACGCTCTCATATATCATGCGACAGGGCAAACAAGATTTATAAGTTAAAACATGCTTTGGGCAACTCTAGAGAAATAACGTCAAAAGCGGGGCCTCAAAAAGAAAATGTTTTTCTTTTCTTTTTTCGGCGCACAACTCGAACGATTAATCAAAAGTATAAACTGCAGCCGCTGGCTGCAACTTTTACTTAGGTGTGCAGAGGGGCGTTGGGGTGTGGCCGCTGCTAATGGCACATGTGCTGTGGCAAGCACTGCGGCCTGCCACAACGCAGTCAGCTTGCCTTGAGAGACAGTGACAAAAAACCGCGAGTGACAACAACCCAGCTCACATGCTCATTATGCACTGTTCATAGGGTGAAACTGAGTATGTTGGCTTTTGTGAAAAGGCTAAATTTTTTTCGCATTGCACTTTGTGCCAGCTACCTAAGCTGGATATTGCAAAATACTTGAGTATAAACAAATTGGAATGACCTATCGGAAGCTAGTCCAATTGCAAAATTCACGTTTAAAAGTTTATTAAACTAACCCGCTCAGTACAGCTTAAACAATCTCCCTCATACATTGTTCATGGCTCAATATTCAATATTTCTTTTCACAGTTTGACATTCACTGCCTTGTGGCAAGAGTATATGGCAGTTGCCTGCAACTGATTGCCATGTTTGCATTTGCTTTACGTTTGTCAATGTTGGCTAATTTGAATGTGGCCTGCCATTTTGTTTTATTTTGGCAGTGTTGCAAAGTCAAGTGTGAGTCTTTTACGCTGAGCTGTCAGCGCTTGAAATGCGACAGCTGTTCTTTGCATGTTGTTGTTCTTGTTGTTGTTTCTCAATGGCCTGGCACTTTTAATGACACCATTGTCACCTTGGCCAACCACAAAAGCTCTTCCTGCTAACCCCGGCCCAGCTCCTTGCTCATTTGGCGCTCGCCACGTTGAGTGGGCGTCATGTAATGCGGCTTGAAGTGTCATTTACACGCGCATTGTATTGTACAGGCAGCAGCTGCCTGTTTGGCTGGCACTTCGCTGGGCTCTGTTTGCGTTTTAAGTAGCTGTTAAGCATTTTCATTACACACGCCAAAATGCACAATGATTTATGCCAAGAACCGGGCACCGTTATCACGTGTTCGTTCTGCTGTCAACGGATTAAATACTCATACTCAGCCTATAACTGAAGCCCGCCCTTTGTGCGTTGCCTTTTGCAGGCAGTTTATCATTAAAAAAAAAAGAAAAGCAAGAAGCAAATGAAAAAAATGGTATTTCATGCCGCATGCCTCATACAAAGTATACAATACTCGGATATATGAGTGTTGCGCATTTTCAAGACCAGGCAACAACACTGACATTGCACATTGTTGCACACTGTTTCTGCTTGCTGCTTGTTGTTGCTGCTGCCGTGGGTTTTCGCTTTTGTTTGCTGCAGCTTTGTATGCAAATAAATGGGCGGTCTAGACGGGCACGCACAATGGCAGTTTTAATTTGAAAAGTGGCTGCAACAACAACAACAACAACAGTAAAAACCACCACCACCCCATATAGAGAAAAGTGCAAACCACTTTTTTTTTTTTTATCATTCTGCAACAACCGCAAACACCCCATGTGAATACGCGTGTCGTGTTGACATTTGCGGCCAGAGCAGAAATTTAAAATAGTTGAAAAATATCTATGAAAATATAAGCAACTTTAGTTTAGTTGCTTTGGTTTTTGGTAAAAGTGTTGAAAAAGTGCAGAAAGTGACAAAAGCAATATCCGAGTCTTTTGTTAAATTTGAAGAGCAGAGTTTTGCGGTTAAATAACATTCATGCTGAAAAGTTTATTAAAACCAATGACAGAATATTTAATTGTTCATTTATAGGCCAAACGAACGAACATGCGCACGTTTCATGTGAACCACGAGGACATCTGGACTTCGAAGAAGCATGGAGAATCAGTTGATTGGCAAAAAGTATGTGCATTTGTTGTGAAAAGAGATAGAGCTTAGTAACACGAAATAATTGCGAACGCAGTGACCAATGAGAATCAGGCGTTTGATAAGATATAGCAAAGAGTAATCGCGTCAGTTTTGAAATGATAATGTTTCATATTCTGGGAACTGCGGCGAGGGCAGCTCCAAGAGAACGCAAAAGCAATGCACTTAGAATGTACTTAAAACATTAAACTGACAGACGGAGGGAAGCGTTTTGGATGGAAGTGAAAGCAATTAGAGTGCTTAAAGTTTACTTACTCTACACTTTTCTCTAATATCGCTTTCAAAGTAGTCGAATTTGGTTTTTTATTGTTTAAAGTTCTCAAGGCTTTAAAATGGCATTTAAATTGAAAAAAGCACTTTAACAATTTGAAACAAATTATGTGAATTTTTTACAAGCTGTTTATGTATTACACTTTTGTAGAGAGTGTTATTGCCTTACTTACCAAGTTATGTCATTTATTAGCTTAACTATGCGCCTCATATGCATGCCTAATCATATAAACATCGGACCACTTAGCTACTTACTTACCATATAGCTACCATAGGAAAGTAGTTTGAAAAGTAGTTTCTTGTATGAATATCTATTTTCTTGTCAAGATATCTTGGTAAGTTATGCTGCTTACATATAAGCCAAATCTTTTCAATATCGGCATATGAGTTTTTTGTATGGCAAAATATAGTCTTTTCCAAGGTATGTATAGGGAAAATGTATTAAAGGGTATTAAATCTTCGGTATGTCGAACTAGCCTAGAGCCTTGTAACCTGCATAGCCTTGAATGTATGAAAAAGTAACTTTATTTATTATAATAAATTAAATTTGCAGAAAGCAAACATAAAAAAGTTAGTTGATAAAATGTATTATTTAAATGGAAAATTAATATTTTTTTCAATTGTCGCTCCTTAAATTCCACATAAAACTCACTTAATTTACCAACAACAAATAAATCAAAATTTAAATAACAACTTTTTTTTTATATCCCAGCAACACAATAGCAAACATTTATAAAACATATTTTAACAGTTTTATGAAAAGTTTTTTTTCCAATTTTTTTTTTTATTTATTTTGCTGCATCCGCTAATGCAGCAACATTGACTTTGCACGTTTT